GTCAGCTGATCGGCTCTGTCGTGTGTCTGCAGGTATCGTCTGTGGGTGGACTCATGCGCGGAGATGTTCGGAGGTCTGGACATCTGCGCGGTCAAAGCCGTCCACGGCAAAGATGGCAAGGACTACATCATAGAGGTGTGTGTGTGTGTGTGTGAGTGTGTGAGTGTGTGTGTGTGTGCGTGTGCGTGTGTGTGTGAGTGAGTGTGTGAGTGTGTGTTTGCGTGTGCGTGAGCGTGTGTGTGTGTGTGTGTGTGTGTGTGTGTGTGTGTGTTACCAGCGCCTCTCAGTGGACGCAGACGATCACTGCAGTCTGCAGCACATCAGCTCTGTTTGCTATGGAAAAAATAATCATATTTACTTCAAATAACGTAAAACACATTTTTAAAGTACAGTTGTAAGCAGAGCTATTATCATTAACTAAAACTAAAGCAAAAAAAAAAATCATTACTTGAAACATAATTAATGTTAACTGACATAAAATATAAAAAACGCATTTGTTTAAATGTTTATTTATTTTATTACAGCTAGTTGCCAAGCCAAGATTTCTCATTTCTTTAAAATAACGAAAAATAAAAGTGAAATAAAAATGAATAAAAACTCTATAGATTTTTTTTTAACTACTAAACATGACAAAAACACGCAACAAAATTTTTACTAAAATTAAATTACAAACATAAAATAAAATACAATTCAAAATATTAACAAAAACTATAGTATTATATCAATAATACTAAAATAACACTGATTTTTTTAATGTAAACATAATAGTAGCATTTGTTGCACTTTATTTCGAATGATTTTAATATGATTTTAAATGCTGTCCACCACACAGGATAATTTTCACGACTATATTACATAAGAATTTAATTTGTTTGTTTGCAAAAATAATAATTTAAGGTTTAAGTTGTCATGAAACTGTTTATTATTTTTATTCCAATTTTCACATTTCAGACCAAAACAATACAGAGCAACATAATATACAACAAAAAAATTACAAAAGACAGACAGACATAAAAAATACACAGTCAAAATATTTGCAATATTTGAAGATATCACTGTATGAAATTTATGCGAACATTTAATCTGATAATCACCAGTATTGACCCCATTGGAATAAATTGATTTAATTAAATTCCTTTGAATTTATAACTCATGATTGCTCACAAACAGTCAAAATGTATGAAACCTACATATTTTTCTTGCATAAGCTTTGACTTTCAGATGAAAAGTGATCAGTGTTTCATGCTGCAGTGGTTCATTAATAGACGATATATTCATGTTCATCAACAAAACTCAGTCCAAAAGTGTGTGAGATACAGGGAAATATATTTACAAATATTTTTGACACTAATATAACTTCATACATAATTTAACAAAAAGTATTTTTGACACTAATGGATCTCCATACAGACCCGGACCAAAATGACTTGTACGTTTTAAATGGTTATATCTCTTAAAAAATTATTGTAAAAAATCTAGAATTTATTTTTTTTGTATGTTGAGGCTCTTAAGGTGTTTGCAAAGTGTCGTTCTCTTACTAAAAACTATGCATTTTTACAACATAAAAATGACAAAAGACAGATAGACAAAAATACACAATAAATAAAAATAAAATAAGATCGCATAAAGACAAAACCTTCATGCAACTCTGCCATTATTTTCATGTTTGTCACAGTGCAAAACAAATCTAATGGCTTCACTTTTATGCAGCTTAATTTTATATTATATATATTCTTTTGCTTCGGTGGATAAATCTGAGGTGTGTGTGTGTTTGTGTGTGTGTGTGTGTGTGTGTGTGTGTGTGTGTGTGTGTGTG